CCTCTTCACCCAGCTGTACTGAATCTCAATGTCCCTACCCAGCCATAAAAACTGTTTTTTCTCATTGTTAAAGTTCCACAAACCACTGTCCTCTGTCTTCAACCAATTAACCACCACCTTCGAGTCACCTTCCAGAATCAAACGGCTAATATCGACTTGGCAGAATTGTGGATTGTCAAATGTGAGCTTGTCTTGGCATGGAACTCATGCTACCCCAAAATCATTTTGGAGTCAGATTCGTGTTCCACCATTCAAATTCTTAAGGGTGGTAGGGATGACCATTGGCGTCTTTCTACAATAAGCGAGATCAAAGCCCTTCTGATTAGAGATTGGGAAGTTCGTACCAATCACTGCTACAGGGAGGCCAACAGATGTGCCGATTTTATGGCTAATTTGCTTGGAGCACTAAGATTCGGTATAGGGAATTCCTAATACCTCCTAGAGAGCTTAACTTTCTTCTGTTTGCTGATGTTATGGGGGTAGTCACCCCTCGTTTAATTTTGGTTTGAGTCTTTTGGTTTCTGTGCTTTATTTTTTGTTTTTCTTTTTTAGGCTCTGTCAGATGAATCCAAAAAAAAAAAATGAGACGGAAAGAAACAGGAATTATATACACTACTTTCCATATGTCTTCCAGATTGCTTTTTGGAGAGGAATAGCAGCATATCATGGAAAGTAACATTCTCAGAATCATTGTCATCCTGCTTGTTCATTTCTGCCCAAATCCAAACACATCTTTACAGTGGTACTTTATACCCAAGCAGTTCAGTAGTGTTTTCGCCTTAATGAAAAGTTTGCAAGGTACCACATGCTAATTTCAGCTTTAGTAGAAAGAGAAAAAAGTTCTTATGCTGATTGCTGGCATGCTATACTAAGAAGCAGTCTCCATCCTTCTTTTTCCACAGTTGACCTCAAAATAACCTCATGTAAAAGACACTGGGCCTTCTAGTGTGCAATGATGTATATCTCCTTCACCATTCTACTTTTTTTCTGTTATCTGTCCTCTCCCCCTTTCCCTAATATAACTTCTCAGCATTTACCTATGCACAGATTAAAAGCTAAGGCTCAGTTTGGAAGGAATACAAATGCAAATTTGTAGAGTGCAAATACATACAAAATAATACAAAATACAAGGTTTTACACTCTACAAATTTGCAATTGTACTCTTTCCAAACTGAACCTAAAGGAAAGAAACCAAACCAGCATTTGGGTGTTCTTAAATTCTCATGTTGGTCTAAACAGTGCAAGTTTTGTTAAATACGCCATTCTTGTTATATTTGTAATTGAATATGCTCGATGTTTCAGCAGTCCTAGTTGAATGAAATATACTGTTTTATACTCTTGTACATTTCAGTTGGCCGTTGTACAGTTCCTTTGTGTACATGGACTTTTTCTATACTTGTTTGTTTTGTTTAATGTAGAACTTTACCCTTTCCAAAAAAAAGTTTGATGTTTTAGCAGCCCCAGTTGTAACCATAGTATTGTTGATTGTTTTCAAATTGGGGTCCTACTAGAGTTTTTCTATTGCTTAGAAATAGAAATAGAAACCTTGAAAACGGAAATAGGTTCCTCTGGTGTTGAATGGAAAGTAGATAAACTTAGTTTAGGGCCATGTTTATTTGGACAGAAAATATGGTGAAAACAGTTACTTTGAAAAACATTAATTTGTTAGTGTTTGGCTGTCAGTAAAATATGTGAAGAAGTAAAATCTTATCCAAATTTAGATTAAAAATAGCTCAAAATGACTTTCCCCCTTTAGGAGACATGTTACTCAGAGTCTGCAATGAGATTCTGGGTTTTTCTCTTAAGGGTACAACTAGATAAACAATTGATTTAAATCAGCTACACCTACATCTAAGAAACCTTTGGTTTCATAAAACTCTCTCTCTCCTCTACATAAGCTGAAAATCTAATGATCTAGCCCATAAGTGCGATTTCCAAGCTGAAAATCTAATGATCTATATTTGAATTGAATCCCACTTCTGTGGTTTTACCTCAATTCTGCTAAATGCAAATGACTATTCCCAAGATCTGAATAAAAATGGAATTGAAGGATTAAATCCACTACTTTCAGTTTTTCACTCTACTATGAAATTGAATCCAATCAGCAGAATTGAGAAATTGTGGAATTGGCTCCCTTCTGCCTCCAGATTATTTTTCCCTGATCTGAACACAACCTTGAGGAATTTAGAAATATAGAAACCTTGGAAAGGGAGATAGGCTCCTTTATGTGGAATAGAAGTGAAGAGCCTTATGAAAAGACGGATCAGATCTTAATAATTCCAGTAAATGGAAGATGGCCCAATTATGCCATTTTGTTCTTTGTTTATTCATTTTCAGAGACAGGCAGATCTCTTACATGTCAACTAGGAACACAAGTGGAAGTTCTAGTGCTAGGATTTAACTTAAAGATGAACTAGAGCAAAGGTTTTGTAATGGT